TGTCATTAATTGTTGCTTTGCTGCTATACCAGTTGTCTTGAAATGAAATGGCTTGCTGATACAAAATAATTTTAAGAATGTGTTGGTTAGTTTTGCATTTTCTCTGTGAACAAACAGCCCTTGAAATGTATGTTTTCCTTCAGGCAGAGAAGCCCACGTTGACGAATGTTAATTTGGATATCCCTGTTGGGAGCTTGGTAGCAATTGTTGGAAGTACTGGTGAAGGAAAGACATCACTTATATCTGCAATGCTTGGGGAGCTTCCTCCTGTAGCGGACGCGAGTGTGGTAATGAGAGGAATGGTTGCTTACGTTCCACAAGTTTCATGGATTTTTAATGCAACTGTAAGTTTTAGCTTGCCCTGTTTTATATGTTTCTATACATCTTTCAAATATGTATCTGTTTTAATTTATTGGAGCTTACTGTTTCTGTGATCTTTCTGCGAACCTAGAGAACCCAGAGATTGGAAACTTGCTGGCATGAATAATGCTTGTTCTTATCCTTATAATTAGTTGAATACAGTGATCTGGGATGTAGTTAAAAATTTGAGTACAATGCTTGTGCAAGGTGGTTACTTTCAGTATTTATGATTTCAGGTACGTGACAACATTTTATTTGGATCCTTCTTTGAATCTGCGAGATATGAGAAGGCAATAGATGTGACTGCATTGAGGCATGACCTTGACTTACTGCCTGTAAGTTCTCTTAGAGTTCTATCTTGCTGCTAGTTCTTACGGTACACCCTGCAATTCGTGGGCCTAATTTGTTTCACATGCTGAATAATTAGGGTGGTGATCTGACTGAGATTGGTGAAAGAGGAGTGAATATTAGTGGTGGGCAGAAGCAAAGAGTTTCTATGGCTAGGGCTGTCTACTCCAATTCTGATGTATACATTTTTGATGATCCCTTGAGTGCTCTGGATGCTCACGTGGCTCGACAGGTTACTGTTTTACATTTAACTTTAGTGCTCAGGACAGGAGTACAGTTATCTTTTGTTGCTTCTACATTCTATTTCTAAGTATAAAATATAGTCTATGATCCTTTTGTTTATTTATTCAGGGTTAATTGGACTGACCTACATAGGCATGTGTTTATTTATTCATTTGTGTTGGCAGATCGGTGTACACTTTTTCACAGATTCATTTATTAATACAATGGATTTTACTAGTATAGTTGCATATTCCTTCTAATATTTCTATTATACAGCTTATGGAATCTTTCTTATAAGGGATACCAAATGACTAAAATACACGCTGGTTTATCTTGTCTTTTGCGCTATTCCTTTCTACACCTGCATGCACTATCTTTGGCTCCTGAAAGTTGGTTATTAAATTGTTCTTTTGTATAGTTGTCTTATTTTTACTTATGTTTCATACCAGGTTTTTGATAAATGCATCAGGGGAGAATTAAGAGGGAAAACCAGGGTTCTTGTTACAAATCAGCTGCATTTTCTTTCACAAGTTGATAGAATCATCCTGGTCCATGAAGGTATGGTGAAAGAGGAGGGAACGTTTGAGGAGCTTTCCAATAATGGCACGCTGTTCAAAAAGCTGATGGAAAATGCCGGCAAGATGGAAGAGTATGCAGAAGAAAAAGAAGGCGGCGAAACAATTGATCAGAATGGTGAAATGATTGATCAGAATGCCTCTTCAAAACCTATTGCCAATGGAGTTGTTAATGTTATGCCAAAAGATGCAAGCCGTGTGAAAAAACCAGAAGGAAAATCTGTTCTTATCAAACAAGAAGAACGAGAAACAGGCGTTATTAGCTGGAATGTCTTGGCAAGGTAATCAGAGTTT